AAATCGAAAGCCTCGATTTTGAGTTTGGCATTTAGCTGCTGCTGCTTTTGCTGCAGCACTTTTTCAGTGGAGCGCCCGCTGTCGTCCAAGGCCCAAGGCTGCGCGCAAACCCTAAACCCTAAACCCTAAACCCTAAACCCTAAACCCTGGCGTTTCGGGTTCAGTGAGCCACAAAGGGAGCAGAGGCGAGCTGCTGCGCTGAGGGTTTGCAGCATGGGCTTATATATGAGAGCTAGGGTTTAGGGTTAAGGGCCTACGCAGCTTTAGATATTAGGGTTTAGGGTTTAGGGTTTAGGGTTTAGGGTTTGAGGACCTGTTTGAGGAGGACTGTCTCCTTGTACCACTTGCTCATTTTGCCCTCGAGGATCTTCCGCTTAAGCGCTTCCGGCATTTCTTTGCTGCTGCTGCTGCCCTTGCTGCTGCTGCTGCTCTTGCTGCTGCTGCTGCTCTTGCTGCTGCTGCTGCTGCTGCTGCTGAGGCTAGCCAGCGCATACTGCTGCTCCTGGGCCACCAAGTCTGGGGGCAGGTCTTCGACACTCTGAAAGCAGCAGACAGTCCAAACCCTAAACCCTAAACCCTAAACCCTAAACCCTAAACCCTAAACCCTAAAAAACTAGGCGTTGTGAATTTGCTGCTGTTAGCTGCATTCTGCTGATGAGGTTTAAATAGCCATTGCTGGGGTTTAGCGCTAGGCCTTAGGGTTAGGGTTTAGGGTTAGGGTTTAGGGTTAAGGTTTGGGGTTAGGCTTTAGGGTTAGGGTTTAGGGTTTAGGGTTTGTGCGTCACCACTGCGATGGGCTTTGCTGCTGCAATATGCATGCAGAGCTGCTTTCCGAACTGCCGCAGCTGCTGCTCGAACTCCTGCTGCTCCTGCTGCTGCTGCTGCTGCTGCTGCTGGCGGGTGTAGGAGAGGTGCAGCAAAACAGCTAGGGGCCCCACATCTGCTGCTGCTGCTGCTGGCTGGTGGCAGTAGGAGGAGACGATCCCCGATCCCGGGATCGTCTCCCTGAGGGTCACTTGCTGCAGTGCTGCTGCTTCCCCCACAATTCGAGAGACAAAAGCCAAGTCTTCTCCCACTGTTGCTGCTGCTGCTGCTGCTTCTGCTGCTGCGTCTGCCGCTGCTGGTGCTGCCGCTGCTCCTGCTGCTGCTGTTTCTGCTGCTGTTGCTTCTGCTGCTGCTGCAGGGGACGCTGCTGCTGCTGCTGCTGCTGCAGCAGACGGGTACGCGCTTTCTACAGGCAGGGCCAGCAGGCGCTGCAGCAGCAGCCGTTGCTGCTGCTGCGGCGGCTCTGCTGCTGCTGCTGCTGCTGCTGCGCTAAATTCGGCAGACCTGCATGCAGCAGCAGCAGCACGTTTTGCTGCTGCGCGGAAGACTTCGCTGCGGCTCACAAAGTCCGTGCTGCAGGCCACATGAACAGCAGCAACACGTTCTACTGTTGCTGCTGCTGCTGCTGGTTTTGCTGCTGCTGCTGCTGTTGCTGCTGCTGCTGCTGGGGCTGCTTCCATTCGGTGGATGGCAATAACCCCTTCTGTGAGTGCCGCAGCGCGGGCCTGGTCGCTGCTGCCTCCAGCAGCAGCAGCAGCTGCTGCTGCTGCTGCTGCTGCGTCTGCTGCTCCCTGCTGCCGCAGCAGCTGCACAGCCCGCTTCAAATCGCCGCTGCTTTGCTGCAGCGCCTTGAAGCAGCTGCTGTATCCTGCTGCTGTTAGCTGCCGCAGCTTCTTGACTAAAGACACATCCACTTCTTGCGCTGCTGCTGCTGCTGCTGCTGTTGCTGCTGCTGCTGCTGTTGTTGCTGCTGATGCTACTGCAGTTGGAGACGCTACTGCTGCTGCTCGTTGCTGTGCCTGTGAAACGCTGCCTCGGGCTAGAGGGCTGCTGCTGCTGCGGACTCTGCTGCTGCTGCTACGAACTCTGCTGCTGCTGCTGCTGCTGCTGCACAGCAGCGCAGGGGAGGCGCTTGGGTGTACGTACACCTGGAAGGCCTCAGCAGCAGCAAAACAAAAAAAGAAATAAAAATAAATTTTGTTTTTCTTCATTGTGCAAATCCGGGGGCCCCCCGTTGTCTCAGGGGCCCCCAGAGAGGCCCCTTGGGGGCCCCCAGCAGCAGCACAGGGCAAAAGCTAAAAAGCTAGGGTTTAGGGTTTAGGGTTTAGGGTTGAGGGCTGAGGGTTTAGGGTTTAGAGCCTGGCGTTAAGGCCTCATACATTTGAGACATCTCGCAGACAAGGCCTCCCCAAATGTCCCTCACCCTGCGGCTTAGAGTTTAGGGTTTAGGGTTTAGGGTTTAGATGTCTTCTTATATTCTATTTTTTGGCTGCAAATAAAAGCCACAAAAAATCTACAAAAGCCCTGGGGGCCCCCCTGGGGGCCCCCCTGAGACCCCAGGGTCTGGGGGCCCCCAGGGCCCAGACCCTGGGATCTCTGCAAGGATTAGGGTTTAGGGTTTAGGGTTTAGGGTTTAGGCTTAAATAGAAGGTCAAAAAGGAGGTCTTCATTATGTCGAAATTCGATAATATTTAATTTAAACGCTAACCAGTCAACCATTAACCGTAAACCCTAAACCCTAAACCCTAAACCCTAGACCCTAGACCCTAAACATAAAGTCACGAAAGTCAACAATGCGCTCGCGCTGATTTCCTCATATTTTGGGGTTTTTAAACTAGCGTTGAGGGTTTAGGGTTTAGGGTTTACGATTTATACTGAAATTAAAATAAAATTGTTTCGTGCTTTTCAGCCCGACAAAACCTCGAAAGTTGCTGCTGCAGTCTCCGCGCGCTGTCTGCTGCTGTGCAGCAGCAACAGGAGCAGCAGCAACAGCAGCAGCAGCAACAGCAGCAGCAGCAGCTGCTGCTGCTGCAGCAGCAGCAGCAGCAGGCTAGCTGAGACTGAATAGGTTGCTGGGCCTAGACGGAGGCATGCGGTGGCTGAGGCGCAAACAAAAAGGCAAGGGCAAATTAAACTAGGGTT